GGACGAAGACAAGAAAGTTGAACGTGAAGTATAAAAGAAAAGAGGGAATTTCAGCGGACAAAGGTTGCGAGGTATTGGAAAGATGCAAGAAGGCCTCTGTATACGACACTCAGACATATCACTCAGTATCCCTAACTATTTATTGCAATGATCCCAAGGTCCCTTATATGGGGAGCCAAATGCGAACTATATGACCGAATCTCCTGGTTAGGGTCTTAAAGCCTTGGTGGTAGGTCCAATTTTGAACATCCTTGGGTAGGTTTTCACCAACTACCTGCGTCGGTAAACATCGTGGTCCATGTCAACCTATTTGGTGACATGCGTAACACATGCCCCAACCAACGTAATCTATGGAGGTCGAGTACTTGCACCAGTGGGCGACCGCGATTGCCTAAAAAGACTAACCTCAGCATTGCTTGTTCGTGCAATGCTGCTTCGACAGTGATGTTAAAACACCGACAGTCCACTTTTATCCTAATTTGTTTTAATGCCCAAGTTTCCACGCTGTTTAGCGGAACTGACAGAATTGCCGCAGCTTATACTCAACCTTTCACGGACAACCGGATGTCGCCATGGCATCATAAATGTCTGAAGTTGGCAAATGCCAATCGAGCTTTCTGTAGGCCTACCAACATTTTATCTGTGATTCGTTCACCGGATGAGAAATAGCTGCCTAAATAACAAAACTTGTCGTCTTGGTCTATTACTTCCCCATTTCGGGTGAGGCTGGGTGCTGCAAAACGCATACCGAACATGGCTAGGCTGGCACTTCAGAAAAGCCTGCAACCTATCTGGATCTTCATTTAGTAGTACAATGTCGTCCGCACGCGAGCGGGGCCTTCGAAATTGGCCACGCGGTCCGTTACATCTTCCGACTCGGAACTATACAATCACTCTTCACTGGATTTATCTGGGATACACGTTCTTCGTTGCCATAGAAACGTTGTGTGATTATGGACATCTTAAATTCTGTGAAATACTCTGCCGTTTTCATGAAGCAACTTCGAACTTCTGGCCA